CACTGGTACATGTGTCATAATAGAGGAGATGGTTTTCATCTTTGTCTTCCTCTTGTTCTGTATCTGATCCTGACAAAATATCAACCAACTGTGGAGGGACCAAGTCTTTGCCCCACTCCACTGATAGCACTCCACTGTTTGATCTACCTCTCTTACAATTACTACCATGGTCTTGCGGATCAGGCATTAATGGTTGAACCTGATGTGCTTGCTTCCAAAAAGTTTGATAGTTTGCGCTAGAGATGTGTAGCTTCAGGGCTTCTCTGCATGGTGGAAGCAAGCTGGTGTCAAGTCCATCAAAGCATGACAGTAAGATTTGACCTTTTGCCATGTGCTTTAGGCTTACAAGGTCATGACTGGTTGTGCTTGAGAAAGCTGGTTTTCCGTACAGCTGACAAACAAACTTTTCCAGATTGGAAAACAGTTCTGGAAAAAAAACACCAGTTTCAAATGTTCCTAGCGCCTTGAATGAAACAGCAAACTCTAGGTGCTTGTGGAGATTGCTGAGTGGTTTCACCTTTCCTTTCGGGACAAAAGCGCTAGTCATATCACATCCAGAGGATGCATGGAGTCCAGGAATAGAATCCTGTATACATATAGGTACCACAAGTGATATTTCTAAAGTGCTTCAACTCAGTTTTGTTAATGTAACCACAGAGAGCTATTGAAAACATGAACACAAGTTTTTACAGAATTGAAATCGGACAATAAATTTTTTTTAATGACGAGCAGTTCAATTTTCATGTACTTAGAAAATTTATGGCCAATAATCATTCGAGTTAAAGTTGGCAAGTTTGTATTGCCATAGAAAAGAAAATTATGAATGGACATTGTAAAGAATCTATATTCCATACAAACATAGATACTGGTAATGCATAGAGATGAAAGCAATCCAACAATAAACAACATGTGTGTGTTTCCATTTTGTTACAGAGCGTCTAAATGTGTAGACATCTTCTTTTGTTCCCAACCACTCTGTCAAAATACAAATGGTGTGTGAAATGTTGAACAAATGCAATTATCAGTAGAAAGACATCAGTGTCTGGGAGACCAAATAATGATGTCTGTGTTTGGAGTCGCAATGTTCTGAGCAGAGTAGATGGCATGCGCGATCAGTAGTGTGTCTACTTCTTCGTGGCTGGAGGATAACTCAGGAACAAGTCTTGAGTCTGTAGTCTTTCCATCACTGCTACCGAGGACAAAGCACTGTTGGTCCCATGCAATGTATATTTCTCTGTTCAGCAACATCATTGCATAACAATCTCGTTGCCATTCATAAAGTAAGAACTGTGTCAGTTGCTTTTTGTTTTTATTATTCATAAGGAACCCTTTGAAATCTTTAGGAACATTAAGTAGAAAAGCCTCGGGCTGTGAATGCATGAGAGAGATTCTCCCCGGCGAATTCGTTCCAAAGATTTAATTGAATCCTCTTTGTATTGTCTGTCAAAAAGTAGGCTTTGTTAACTTTGGGTAGAGCACAAAATATTGTACAGGCTAACTCGCCAAAAGTATCTCGTAAATCAGAGGGATGCAGAGTATGATAGAACCAGGGGCGGCTCGTGGGGCTAAAAAGTGGACGTGTACAATTAAGCTATCGCATGCTGAAGATACTCAAGGGCATAGTAAATGAGACGGTGCATAATTGTAGAATCTTTGTGTTGGCGAGGGAGGACCTCGTGCTTCTATTTTCATTCTTTTTACTTGTCGCTTTAATTTCTATTTCTAGTACTAAATTTGTTTGTTAGCTAAACATCAATTTCGTTCATCCTGTATTGGAACTGAACACTCTAGTAATACTTTTCACTACCCCACTACAAAATCATTCAAAGGCACAACTCGTAGAACGGTCACGTTCACCTCCCTCAGGTTCACGGTCACAGAGTCACTTAAAAGCGTGGCAAGACAGACAATGAACCAATCACAATTCATTTGAGCACTCCACTGGATTGCTCCGGGGCTCACATGATATTGGCAAAGAATAGCGTACGGTCTATCGCGTTTATTTTAGACTGCCTACTGTGGGCTATATTTCGGCACTATTCGGCAGGGGCACATTTGAAATGTGTCGTTTTATTAATATTAATGTACTGCCAAATTCGCTACGAGTGTCGTCATCGCTTGGGTTATCCCCAAGAGCGATTTATAGGTCAGGTTACACTGTTGAATATCCTATTATGTTAAGCTAAAGCGCGTGGACTTTGGCATGGCATAGTAAATGTTTTACGGCGCTATAGACGCAGAAATTATAGCTATGGCGCCAGTGAGGACCTTGTTTTGATATAATATTTAGCTAGTGTTTGTTTCTGACTTATTTTATGTTATTATTGTGGGTGTTTTACGTAATAGAACATTTTTTAAAAATTGGGCGGCACTGCACGACCGTGCTCTATGGACGAACCGCGCCTGGATAGAACTCATTGGGAAGTGTTCATGGTCTTGAGGTGGGTTTTGAAGAGCTGAATATCTTCCAGTTTATGCATAAAAACTGTTTGTTTGTTTTGATAGGAAACCCATCGGGGTTGCGACGGCCCACGGTACTGGTCTTAGAGGATAAATCCATCACTTTTTGAAGGTCCAGATCTTTTTCTGTAGACAGCATGAGAAGCTGCCCAAACATGTTTCTTTGTGCTGTTAATTTCACCTCCTTTTTCTTTGTTGTCTTCAGCTTTGCTGTCTTTTGTTGTGAAGCAAAAGTCAGTTTCCTGTTTCTTTTGAGAGGTGCATGGAAACTCTCAGCATGTTCAATGAGGGTTGTCTTGACAAAATTTTCATAGCTGTTTTTGTCTTTTTCAATTGACAAAAGATCTGCTTCTACTTTCTCTGTAGCTTCCATTCCTGAAGACAGAGAAATCAGTTTGTCATTTCCAAAAGTGTCAAATGGGTTGATAAACGATTCAAAAGATTGCTTGACACTTTGTACACGTTTCTCTGATAGTCTCATTTGTGACTGGTGGCAGTCATTGTGTTCTTGATCCTTACTGTCCAGTCCAGATTTTTCCAATAGTGCAGTGACAATGCTCGCCCTTTTATGTCTCGTCAAGCACCACTTGTGGTATGCAGTAACATTTGGACTAAAACCAACAGTGCCACTCTTACATTTGGCTCGGCGGTTAATTGTTTGCCCAGTTGTTAAGTCCACAGCACTTCTTGCACCTGACACTCTTGACCTGTGCACACTGAAACCTTAGTATCGCAAAAGCTCTTTGACACCAGGATGAGAATCTTTCAGGTTCAGTAGAAGTAGAAGTAGAAGGTTGATGTATGCACAGATGTATCTTGCATAGTTGGGGTGGACCATGCTATAGAAAATGGGACACATTTGCTCAAGACAAGTTATGTGCAAGTCAAAGTCATTTCTCTTTGTTGCTGTAAAACAGTTGAGAACTTTCAACACTGCATCCACTTCATCCAAAACTGAGCAGTTTTGCCCAGTTTCGCGTGACGAACATCCTGTTTGAACTGAAATCAGCTGTCAGCAAGTTCCTTCAATGAGCTCATATGCTCGTCATTATCATTAATGTCATTGTTGGAATAAGGAACATCTTTCAATTCCTCCTTTGACTTTTCAACAAACTCGTTGTGCTGTCCATGTTGTTGAAAAGCAGTGAATGAAAGACGCTCCAGAGTCGCCATAAGACAGCTTTGCGCACCTTGAGTGATCTGTTGTAATGTTTCCCTTTCATCACCTTTTCAATAGATCCACTGGCATGGATTTTAGAATCTAAAACTAACTACTTTTTCATATCCACTTCCACACACCTGTTCACCTATTGCTTTCTGCTATACACAAAGTATGTGAAACACATCGATGTGAATTATCACATTTTCCTAGAGAACCTTGTTCTGCCGCTTTCAAATGAATATGCCAGCTTTGCTACAGCCAGATCTAATGTGGTAAAAGTATACTTTTGACCAACTGCTCTGCTTGCCTCTTGCGGAATTTTCAGGTTTCTTGTACAGTTGAATTTAATTGGTTGGCTAAGAGGTTCCATGTATTCTACAGAAAACTATTGAGCAAAAGTACAGTGGGAACCTGATATAACGGGGAAGGTGGTTCACTCCCAGTAGCCCATAGCCTCAAATAGATGGCAAGGTTCCTTTAAAGTTTCTCCAGGCGAATTTAAAAAAATATAAATTATATTTTTAAAATGTCATATTGACCAAGGCTTAAATAGAATAACATTTTGAATTTTCATAATCAGTCGGACTGACGCGGGGAGCGAAACTTGATGCAGAATTAAAAAATTATGTTTTATTTTAATTGTACTCCTCTACATTACACATTGTGTTGTGTTCGCTCGCTTGCGACACACATCACTGTACATCTATCCATACTGCCTGAAATCTACACAAGACACAAGACAGTTTAGACAGCGGTAGGGAGGTGGGATGGGCGAGGAGGGAGCACATCTGAGAAAAGCGTTTGATCTTGACCGAGGCCCAGCTCGTAGACGTGTGTAGTGTGTTAATGTTAAAGATTGTCAGGCAACCACCGAGTGGAAGTGCCGTGTGTAGCCTGGTGTGTACTGTGTACACTTACACTTTTACAGATGTAGTTTATTAAGGACTGTACAACTGGGACAGTTGGCGGATGACGGTGTAAAGGCACAAATACGCTTTTCCTACATTTGCAAAACCTGGCAGTACAACGGGAAGCGGTACAAGGAGGTTTGGCTATAGTTTCAGAAAATCTCTCTCTCTCTCTCTCTCTCTCCCTCTCCCTCCCTCCCTCTCTCTCTCTCTCTTTCTCTTTCTCTTTCTCTCTCTCTCTCTCTCTCTCTCTCTCTCTCTCTCTCTCTCTCCCTCTTTCTCTCTCTCTCTCTCTCTCCCTCCCACCCCCACCCCCGTGTTGTAGAAGACGATCAATTCCCGACTAAAAAACAAGTTCATCAAAACAAAGACAACAATAAAAAACAAAACAAAATAGAAACACCCGATCGATAACGAATGATAGCACATTAAAGAACCCAAACAAAACAACAACAACAGCAACAAAGAACCCTAGTGTTCCTGCTGTTTCCCTTTTATTAACACACCGAAGGCATGTCCACATTCTCAAGCTGCGGGTAACCCTTCGTCTCTTCCATCTGCTTCCAGTGGAACACAATAGGCAGGTAGGGGCCATTGTGACTCCGTTTATTCTTCACCTTCCTCCCCCGAGCCTCCTTCAACTCGCTCATACTGCCACCACTACCACCACTTAGCTTTCTACCATCGGATTTCTTCACGTCTACTTTGGTCCAGCTGACTTGTCCGAGAATCCTCCCGTCCCTCACACTGACCACCCCAACTTGGTCAGTAGAGCTGCGTCGACGTTGAGACTGTAGGCTCTGCTGACTCGGCGGACCAGGCTGATCTGTGCTCTTTGACTCACGGAGAGCTGCCTCTCGCAGTCTGTCTTGTAACGAACTTCCTATGGAGGGCTTGGTGTTGGCCGATTGTCCGGCCAGGTACGTCCTCTGTTCCTCCTCCTGCTTCAGTTTCTCGTCCCACCATGGCTCCATGGACCACCCACTGGGGGAAAATGAGGGGTCGGGGGAGTAATAACTCTTCTTTGTGTTATTAAGAGTTTACGGCGCTCGCAACTGCACTAAGTCATGTGAGCGCTGAGGGGTGGATGTCAACAGAGAAGTCCAAATGGGGAATCAGGCCTACTCTGCTCACCTCTCTAGCCTCAACAATACAGAGAGAGTGACAAACATTCAAAAGAAGTAGAGGGCAAATGAGGAAAGAAAAAACCAGCAGTTCCCCCTATGTTGTTTCGGCACAGTATGAGCTTGACATTGATAAGTCAGCCCATTTACAATTCTACTGTGCATAAGAACATGTTAATATCCCTCCTTTGGGAATGGCCTGACCTAAAGACACCTCAGTCAGTAGATAAAAAATATAATAAAACCAGCAGGTGAGCACTTGGGAGTCTTGACCTGAGTGTAGCCAGGACCCCTTAGAACTTAGACAAGACTAAGTCAGGTAATTAGGGCCGAAACATTTGCTTTGACTTTGAAGGGAGTTCTTCCACTCTGAAGATCTGCGAGAGTAGAGAGATATATTCGCTCGCCCCACGAATTTTCAGCCACTCAATTTTGGTAATAAGTAACAGGTAGCCTAATTACAAATATGTAACTTAGCGCTCCATTTTATTGGCAAATTCAGGGGTGGGGACGGGGGAATGATCCTGAAAAAATGTAAGCTCTAAGCGACCTCGATAATGGACCCAACATGCACAGGGACATGACGTACGGGACATAATTCATGTAAAAATTTAATGTAATTGTCAAACTTTGCTTGGCTCCCTTGCTATAAAATCGAGTGGCCTGAAATTCGTACCAAAATTGAAGATATTTTATAGATATAAAAACGTCTCGCTGATCTCATTTCAATATGTATGTGTTGTAAGACTGTAATGCAACATACATACATGTACAAACTCAAACACACACACACACACACACACACACACACACACACACACACACACACACACGCGCGCGCGCGCACGCACATCCCCCAACATACAAAAAAGAGAAAACAAAAATGCACTTTTTTATCCTGTAAAAAGCAAAACAAAAGTTAAAAAACAAAACGAATAAACAAAACTGTTACAAAACACCTGGGTTGGGGTTTTTTTTTCACCTGTAGTAATAGTTTCTCTTCTTGAGGAAGTTGAACCTAGCCTGAACGATGTTCTCCACCTCCCTGGCGTGTCTCTGGTAGCTGATGGCCTTCCTCAAGGTGCCGCTCGGGTGCGGGGCGGCGATGTAAGAGCGGCGCACGTGAGGGTACATGTGGTTGAAGTCCTTCACCTTTCGGCTGATGTGCAGCTGGTCCCGGATCAGTCTGGCGAGAGCCTGGAGAAGAGTTAGCGATACATTCGTTTGTGTGAGTTGAACCAAAGATAGTACAGCCTACGGTAACTTGTAAGATGCTGCAGTGGCCCAATTTTGTGAGGCACGTCGACTCCTAGCGCCACTAGCGGCAAGCGTGCGACAGTATGTAAACAAACACGGTGAGAGACTCGCAACGCTCTATGCTGTCTGCATTACGGGCCAGTTTTGTTCAGCGGGCGCCGTTCTAATTCCAGAGGAAAAACCAATTGATAATTGTCTTCTTCAGATTCCCAAAGGACGAAAAATGGAAAGACAATGTATAATTGATTTTTAAATCTAGAGTCTAGATTAGAGCTAAACTAGAGAGACCAAAATGTCCAGCCTGTAAGCTTTGTTTACTCTCTGCAGCATGCATCCTTGACTAGGACCAATGGTTTTGTACTCTGTACTTTGTTGTGTGAGGGCCCATTCCATTCGGTGTGGAACTAGATTCTAGATGTAAATGTTATATAGATCTATATGTTTTCTGTGTTGTAGGTTATTATGTAATTTGTTCTTTAGCACAACACAGAGAGATCAGTATTTTGCATATATATCAACTTGTATCTTTTTATGACGTATGGGCCATTGACCTCGAAAGTCAATAAAGTCTAATTCAATTCAATTCTCTCTTACCACACATACTCATACTCTTACACACATGTACGCAGGCACGCAGGCACACACACACACACACACACACACACACGCACGCACACACACACACACACACACACACACACACACACGTGCGCGCACAGCATATGTCCTGACCACTTCTGTACATTTTATTATCATCACGGCCACCATCACATCATCATCATCAAATCATCTTCATGTACATCACAAAACCACCTCCACAAACATCCAGTGGCGGTGGGTGGACCAAGATTTGGGTGGGGCTTAGGTTGGTTCCACTTCTTTACAACTAAACATCAAGCACTCAAGAGTGATGATTTTTCTATACCCACGGTGAGCCACGGCATTTTAAGAACCATTCAAACGGAGAATCAACTTTGTGTTCCATCTCTTTATTCTAAGTTAGCTCTAGATTCTCCTGGATGGCGGGAACGAAACCGTTTCACCTCC